TGTGTGTGTGTGTATGTGTGTGTTTTGTTTGTCTGTGTTTCAAAGGTGTGGTGTGGTTTGAATGAAAATGTCCCCCATAGGCTTTAAGTATTCGGACATTTTGTTCCCAGTTGGTGGTGGTGTTTTGGGAGGTCTTAGAAGGTGTGGCCATGCTGGAGGAAGCATGTCACTGGGGACGGACCCAGATAGTTCTTAAGCCTTGCTGGATCTTGAGTCACTCTCTGCTTTCTGTGCCTGCTTGAAGATGTAGAGCTTAGCTTAGCTTCTGCTCCTCCTCCAGCCACCTCTGCCACCATGCCTCCCTGCCATAATGGACTTTTACCTTTGAACCATAAACAAAATAAACTCTTCCTTTTACAAATTCCCTTGGTCATGGTGTTTCTATCACAGCAACAGAAAAGTCACTAATACAAAGGGGGTGATTTTATGATACAGTCACTAGGCTAGCTAGGTAGCGAGCCCCATGGACCTGTTTGTCTCTGCCTCCTCAGTACTGGGATTACAAGATAGTGCCACCATGCCTGGCCTTTTTATATGGATTCTGGGGATTGAACTCTGGTCCTGATGCCTGCCTGGGAAGACTTTATCGACTGAGCCATTCCCAGCCTGCTTTCCAGACTCTGAATCATGTATTCCCGGGGGAGGAGAGGCACCTTTTGCAAGGGCAGCATCTAAGGGCAACAGGTTGGGGGTGTAACTGCCCCCTGGTTACCTGGCAGGCATCATAACTCTCGTTCTCATTCTCGTAGGCAGCACACAGCATGTTCTGGGTGAGTTTTGGGAATATCTGTGAACACTCCTCCCAATCTATGATGAGCATCGGCACTTTCATCAGGTCCGTTGTCATAGAGTTTTTGTCGACTAACAGAGAGAGAAAGCCCATTGGACAAGCCGCCAGATAGCGGTCTTTTGTGGACAGTGCAGTTGGCTGCGTGGAGACTGCCTCACATCCTCCTGCACAAGTAGGTTCCCCAGCCAAAGCACTCTCCACTGTTCCTCACAGCCTCAGTCTCCACAGCCTTCAGGTAACCACGCCTGAACGTCCTCCATGGGCACCTAGGCTTTCCTAAGTAACTTCACTTTCTGGGAGTGTTTGACTTCTCCAGGAAACATACTAGTGAGCCTTTCCCAGTGAGTTCTGTTTTTCCAACAGACACTACTGTGTATTATGTGACCACAGCATTCCCCTGGCCCCTCAGCACTCCCATGGGGCCATGGAGAAGCCTAGTTCCACCCTGGTCAAAAACTATTAGGTCTCCCAGCACTGGTAGGTTGACTGGATACATTTTAATTAAGATTTTAAGAAATTTTAAAATTATATCTATGTGTCTGTGGGGGTTCTGTGTATGCCAGCACAGTGACCTCGAAGGTCAGAAGAGGGAGTCAGATCCACTGGAGCTGGGGGATCACAGGCAGTTGTGAGCCACCTGATGTGGATGCTGGGAACTGAACCCAGGACCTCTGCAAGAGCAGTATTCACTCATAACTGCTGAGCCATCTCTCCAGGCCCTGGCTGGATCTTTAGAAGGTGTTAGGGTTTGAATCTGAAATGTCTGTCATAGGCTCATGTTTTGAACACTTGTTTCCAACTACAACTTGTGGGTGGTGCTACTTTGGAAGACTCTGGAACCTTTAGGAGGAGGGGCCTAAGTGGTGGACATAGGGGCACTTTGAAGGTGATTTGACTCCTGGTTCTGCCCCTCTCTCTCTTCCTGATCTACCACACTGTGAGCAGCCTCTGCCACATGCGTCCACTCCCAGGGTCACCAAGCCTCTGCCATGCATTTCTTACTGGGGTGGATTAAGATCCCATGAAAACATGAGCTAAAAGAAAGCTTTCTTCCTGGGCTGGAGAGATGGCTCAGTGCTTAAGAGCACTAACTGCCCTTGCAGAGAACCTGAGTTCAAATCCCAGCACCTACATGGTGGCTAAAAACCATCCATAACTCCAGTTCCAGGGGATCCAACACCCCCGTTCTGACCTCTGTGGGTACTGCATGACACAGGTGCACTTACACACATGCAGACAATACACTCATAACACATAAAATAAAAATAAATAAAATATTTTTAAAAAGCTTTCTTCCTATGCATTCTGTCTGGCAAATATTTTGATCCAAGCAACGCAAAAGGAACTAGAACAAAGGGGATGATGGGAGATCAACATCTGACCTGCAGGTGGCAGGATTTTGCCTGGACTTCTTACCTTGGATCATACAGAGATTTGGTAATTTGTTCCCTTAGAGTATTTTAATCCTGTTGGGTGCCATCTGCCTCCACTTCTAATTTCTAACTACTGTCTATAGCCATACTCCACCTGTGTAAGTAACCTGAGTACCATACTCCACCTAAGTTACTACTGAGTAACCAGGTTCTAGGCCCAGCTCATACGAGACCACCTCGTGGTCCCTGACACTTGTTTCAACTTAAGGCAGTGCTGTGCAGTTCCCGTCTCTTTGCTTTTTCTGAGTTGTCTTTGTAGGACTGTCCAGTGAGGGTTTCCACATGCCTTCCTGCTCCGTCATATACTGTTCCTGTTTTGGCCAAGCACTAACATGTACTAAGTAACAACAGATTCATTTCTAAGAGTGGCTGGGTAACATTTCTGGGCCATCTAAAGCCCAGACTGGGGTTGAACATCATGAAAGCCTGTGGGAACTAGGTGGGAGACATGACTCGGTGAGAATCGAGAATAACTGTAGTTAAAAATTCCATTAAACACACAGACCAGAGCACTCTGTGCTGGCTGACCATGTATAGGAACTGGCCTAGAGTTGGAATCTCAGCTGAAACTTGGGACAGGCTTCTCTGGTACCCATAAGAGGTTGACCTGAGCCCCCCGCTCCGAGAGCCCTAGTGTGTGGAGATATCCCCCAATGAAGGCCTGTCCCACACCCTCTTTTGTGCTCCCCTCCCCACCTCTCCTCCAGATCCCATGGCTCTTGTCCCAGTAGTTTTCATGAGTCCCTGGGCAGCATGTACCTGAATTGGTCATGCCCCATCCTGCCACCCAGCATTCGTGCCATCTGGAAGGGGCAGGCTGGGGGGGCATGCAGATGGGCACTGTCAGGCCACTGAATGTGATGGGGGAGGCCAGCAGTAGCAAAGCGATATCGCTGTCCATGGTGAGTCTTTCAAAATCCTTGTGCCAAACTACGCTGATGACCTGTAGTTCTGTGGGCAAGTTGGTTAAATCATTGGTCCCCAACGCAACTCTCAGTTCCGTTGGTCTGATGGCACAGAAACAGAGAAAGGGGAGGAGAGAAGAAAGCCACAGTGAACCGAAGTTGTCGGGTCTGTAGACTCTGAACCCCACCCCACAGAGTTCTAGGGGCCTTTAAGACTGGTTGTAGTGGGCCCTATTGCTCAGAGGTTTGAAGATGTAAAAACAGAAAGAGGGTATATTACTTTTCTCATTGTTGTCAACAAATACCTTACAAGAAACAGCTTGAGGTTTATTTTGGCTCAGTTTAAAAGGATACAGTTCACATGGCAGAGAAGGTGTGGCAGTGGGAGGGTAAGGCTGCATGATCTGGATGAAACAGGAAGCAGAGAGAGACTGTGCTATCAGTGTTCGGCACTTCTAGGCCCCACCTCCTAAAGGTTCCACACCCTCCCCAATACAGCATCATCAGCTGGAGATCGAGTGTTCAAGCACACAAGTCTATGAGAGGCATGTCACACTCGGACCATAACAGAGGCACAAACAGGGAGGAGACCTGTAACCTCAGGGCGCCAAGACTGAATGAGATACTGGTGTTGATCACAGCAGAGGCAGAATTCAGTTCTGGGCTCTTTGAAGAGTCCCCAAAGGACCACCTGGCACAGATCAAATCAGCTGTCAAACACTTAAGGTGGTGCCACACACATCAGTGGGCAGTGTCCATGTCATTAGATCTATCAACAGCTTAGAAACAAGGGTCGGACTTTCATTGGGAGGTGCCCTTGGATGCACAGAAAGGCCTTCCAGTGAAAGGGTTCCTCCATGCAAGAAGGCCACAGACTTCTGAGCTATCTTAACCAGTCCTTAAGTCTCCTGCAAGAACAGGTGGTACAGGGTCCTTGGTTTTGCCTAGATGAACTCTTCCCCCTTTTATGGGTCTGGAGATGGAACTGAAGACTTCAGGCATGCTTGCTAGACACCTTGCCACTGAGCCATATCTCCAACCCATTTGATTTTATTATTTTATTTTGAGACAGGGTCTCATTAAGTTGCCTAGGCTGACCTCAAATGTGTGGTCCTCCTGCCTCAAACTCACAGTAGCTGGGATTACAGGCTGTGCCCTCTCCCCCAGCAATTTCCCCAGGTTCTTGATTAAATCTTTAAAGTCAGCCTTCCTAAAGATCTTCAAACTCTCTGGAGGTGGTAAAGCCAAAAGCCAGAATTCCTTTCTGCCTTTATCTACTGGCCCTACCTAGAACAAGCCATATATATGTTATCACACCTGTTTCCTTATCTATGAAACAGGTTTCATAGATATTGTTTCTTTTACCTGCCTCTGAGGGTCACTGTACAGTTAAATGACTCAACATATAGGGGAAGTCTTAGCAGAGTCCTTAGTACATGGCTAATTGTCAACCAATGCTAGATGCCCCCTGATGGCCCGAACCAAGAAGTCTCCACAAGAAGCAGGGATGGAGGGGTCCAGAAAGCCCAGAAAGTCAGATGTGAATATTTAAGACTTCCTCCTAGGAATGTTTAAGTGTCCAAGGAGACAAAAAGGGCCAGGCTGTCTGGCTTGATTTAGGTGCTTGTGAAGCACACAGGGTATGATAAGGGTAGTCACAGTCACAAACCCTGGCAGCTGCATCAGCATCTCTAGGCTGGAAGAGAAGTGGGGGGAGAGAGTCAGTCCTGTCCATCTAGGGAACTGCCCCAGGAACCCTCTCATGGTCAGATGGTGCCTCTGGACAATCCAGGTTGTTAGTACTTACAAAAACTCTCCAGAATAAAAGCAGTGGGCCGCAGAGAGAATCCACCACTCGCTGAGGATGGAGCCGCCACAGAAATGTTTGTTTCTTTCCTGAATGCTCACCTGCCATGGAAACTCACCCACCTTGGCTTCCTGTCCTCCTATGATTCGAGAATGTTGAGTCCTTTCCTCATAAATGGATCTCTCACCACATTCTGCAGGAATGGAAAACCAAAGGGAAAGCTGATTGCCAGTTAACACCCAGAAGGCCAGGCTTGGGTCAAGCTCAGGAGGAGACATCCCTGGTGGGTGTTCTAAGACCAGCACACCAGGGCTGGCCTGTTGTGATAGGTGTTGGCTCTACCTGCATCCTTCCTGGGGTCACAGACTGGTGTGTCACCTATGACACACCAGTGAACTCCTATGTGGTAGGCAGAGTATGATCCCTAGAGATGCACCATGTCTAACGGCTGTGTCATAGGACTAGCAAATATTTCCCCTTACAAAGCAACAGAGAATTTGGGGGTGGAATTAATTGCTGACCTCCAAATGACTCATGGTGTCGATCCTATGTCATCACAAGGGCCCTGAAGAAAAACCAGAGGCAGGACTGTGGAGATGACTCAGTTGGTGAAAGTCTTGCCATGCAAACTTGAAGATCTCAGTTGAATCCCCAGAACCCATGTAAAAAATAATTCAGGTGTGGTAGTGTGTGCTTGTAATCTCAGCACTGGGGCGGCAAAGACAGGCAGATTGCCGGGGATTGCTGGCCAGTCAGCCTTGCTTACTTGGTGAGCTTTAGTTCAAAGAAAAGACTCTGTCATAGAAGACACGGAAGACAGCACCTGAGGAACAACATCTGAGGTTGTGCCCTGACCTCCATCCACATACATGTGCAGACACCTTGGTACACACATGTACTACCCAAATGTGCATACACACAAAAAAGAGAGAGAGAGAGAGAAGGAAAGAGACGAAAACTATCAGCGACAGTCATGAATCTGGGATAAAGGCAGAGAGAGACAAGTTACAATGCTGACTCCATGGATGGAGGCAAGGACCCAGGAGGGACCCTCAAAGTCAGCAAAGGGTCGGTGACAGTTGTACTCCAGGTTCACACATGGATTCTGCTCAAACCTGGCATTTACCCTGGGATTTCCACACTGCTCTTCTATCTTACAGAACAGTGAGAAGAAATCAGTGTGCCTTCAATCACTCAGCCTGCCTGATGGTACAGCAGCCCTAGGTAACAAGGAGGAGATCCCCTAGATGCTGTGGAAAGTGCCAGAACCTGCTAGGAGCCCTGGTTGTTGTAGTCTAGTCCTCGTTGAGCAGTTCCATCATCAGGACACTGGGAACAGAGGCTACAGCTCCCAGCTGAGAGAGAAGTCTCTGTGTGGACAAGGCCTGGGAACCACCCTCCTCTCTACCCACAAGGGTGGGCATCTCCTTTCCACAGCAAACTGGAAGTTTGACTCTAAAGAGCTTGTGACTCCCTTGTTTCCCTTTCTTCATGTGTACGTCTACCTATCAGCTCAACAGCAGCTTTGAGGATTTTTGTAGCGGGGCTTGGAGTGACTCGAAGGTGGTCATTTTGGGCAAAAATAATTAGGAAAACTTAGCAACTGTGTGTCAGGAGCCTTCAGTTGTCTCTAACATATGTTTTTTTTAAGGACTTTTGGTCTTGAACTTCTTTTATTTACCAAACACACCCACAGTGCTCACCATGTGCCAGGCACTGTTACATACACCTTAGAAAGACCAACTTACTTTAATTTTCACAGCCACCCTGAGAAGTAATGCTGCTGGGACACAGGGAAGTTAAGTAGCTTGTCTAAAGTCATACCTAGTAGTTTGTCTAAGGTCATACCTAGTAGCTTGTCTAAGGTCATACCTAGACATACTTAGCTCTAAAGCTGGCCATTTACCCCTCAGTCAGTGCTCCTGTCTGGAACATTCTCTTCTTGATTTCCTGCTGTCTCCCTTGCTTTGTTCATGCTTCTCCCCAAGAATCAATCGCTTCTTCGGACAGGCCTCCCCCAACCTGTGTCAGCACAGCCCCCAACCCGGGCCACTCTTTATTATCTATGCTGCCCCAGGTTTCTTCACTGTGTTCTTATGACATCAGCTCCTTGTGGAATGCTTCTGGCTGCCTCCAATCCCAGAATGCAAGCACGATGCTTGTCTCAGCTGATGGCTGTGTGCCGAGGCTGAAGACCACACCAAGCATGGAGAGGCACTCAACAACCAGAAGGACCAAACCTCTGACTTAGGATGCTTCTAGAATCATCCTAAGAGGTAAATCTGCATATGGGAAGATGTCCCTGCAGTCATGCCCACAACAGCAGCAGATGAAGACCAGCCGATGCCATGGCATCTGTGTCCCAAACTATTTCTCAGCCATAAAAGTTATGCTCATGGGGAGTTTTCAAGGGTGTAAGGGAATGCTTGTGACACAAGTGTGGATGGAAAGATCATGATAAAAGTCATGTTTAAACATTCAAGAAGGTTAGTTCCACCAGTCTGGTACTTTTAATTACCATGTGCTATGTAGATAAAGCTTGGACAAAGACCAAACATTCTCAGAAAACCCTTGCCT